GCCAGCACAGGCAGTTGTGCCGGCAGACGGACGCTCCTTCTTCCCGTGCTCCCCACGGGGCTCAGGTTTCGCCTGCGAGGGCCTCGGCCGGGCTGTAATTACAAGCCTGGCAGGGGTCCCATCCCTCTGCCTCCCCAGTTGTTTCCAGCCTCTCCTTCCCCAAGCCCAGCGGTCCCCATGCAGGGGGACMGGGGGAGCCCACTGAGCTGCCCCATGAGGGAGGCATAGGGAGGAGGAGGAGGAGGAGGGCAGAACCCCCCGGTGCTGCTAGGCACCCCAAGCCCTGAAGTGAGGGAGGGCAGCAGCCTCAGGCTCCTGCAGCGCCTCTGGAGACCCCTGGCCYTGCAGGGTGAAGCCAGTTTTGGCGTGGCTGGAGTGTTCCCAYCAGCTCTGGGCCCCCTGAGCTCTGATCTGGGCCCAGGGGATTGGGGGGTGACCAGCCCAGGATCTGGGCCCAGCACAAGGCTGCATCTGCTGACTCAGCAGGAAGAGCTGCTGAGTCAGGACAGCAGAGGCATTTCCCAGAATTGTCCTGGCCTGGGAATCCCCTCTCAGCCCTGGTCAGGCTGGGGGTGTCCACATGTCCCCCCCTCACCTGCACACATGGGGCTATTTGAGCTGTTTGAACACACGAGCTGGGGTTTTATAGCTAAACCCCTCCTGCCACCCACAAGGGGGACAGTGGTGGGTAGAGGTGAGCCTGGGGCCAGGAGGTCACCACATGTRTCACCTCCCCTGGGTGACACCCAGCATCACAAGATTGAGGCCAGGAGGTCACCACRTGTGTCACCTCCTCTGGGTGACACCCAGCACCACACCAGTCATGGCCACGAGCTCCACAGGCTGCCTGTGCGGAGGTGGCACCGGAGCATCCGCTCTCCATGCCCACAACCCAGCCCTGGGGGCACACAGACACCGCGTGATTCCATCACTACCAGGATTACTGCTGGCCCCATGCATGACCCAGGGGGCTGTCACCCTCCAGGACACCTCCTTGTCCCCTTGCCAGCTGCTTGGGACCTGACACCAAATTCACAACAAAGATCTGCCTGTGAGAGCCCCAGGGCTGAGCCTGGCTCTGGGCACTGGCTCCAGCCTGGCTCTGGGTGCTGGCTCCAGCCTGGCTCTGGGTGCTGGCTCCAATCTGCTTCTCCCCACTGCTGCCCAGGGCCAGGGGGGAGCCATTGGCTGCCCCCCGCCCTCCCCAACCCCTTATCAGTGGGTTCCAGACACGAGGGGACCAGCTGCCCTCAGGGACAGTGGTGAAGCACTTGGAGCAGAGGCCACTCCAGCTCAGGTCAGGGATAACAGAAGGCAGCTCCAGGGTTGGGCTGACCCTGCTCCCACTCCTTCAGAACTTCCCTGGTCCCTACAAGCACTACATCCCCTGCATCATTCAGATGAGCCCCAACGTGGGGTTGGGGATCAAGCCCCAGCTGCTGGAGGCAGGTAACTGGGGGCTTTTCTCTCCCTTTCCTCCCTCCAGCCCTGGAGATTGAAAAGCAAAAGCAAAAGGCACTTCAAAAGCCTAAATGCAGTTTTTAACMCCACAGTGTTAACCAGGCACATCATTTCTCACACACACATGGAGCTGTAGTTGGGTCTTGCCTAAAAATCCTGCCCAGACCTGGTGGTGCTGCCCTGTGGCCTCCTCTGGGCAGYAGGGAAAGGCTGGGACCTCGAGGATCAGCTGCTTCACTGGAGAGGGAAAACCAACCCTGCTCAGGGCACAGAGGGACACCATGACTCCCTCCCAAGGGACAGATTGCTGGTACCAGGGTGTGAATAGTGACAGGAGTGATCYCAGTGCAGGACTGATGACACCAACAGCACCAGGCTCAGCCCTGTGGTGGAACTGGAGGGTGCTGGATCAGAGCTGGAGCRCAGCAGTGGTGATGCACAGGGAGACAAATTTCAGCAGCATGYTGACCCATCCAACCCTTCCTGTTGCACAACCACCGGCCAGTCCCTGGCATCCCAGCAAGATTCCACTTCCCAGCAGAGTGTGGTTGCTTTCAGCCTCAAATGCTGAGCAGAGCAGAATCTGAGTCAGSAGGAGGAAGGGGCTCCAGCTGCTGCCAGCCCACAAACTCTGTTCCACTCCTTCTGCCCACATCCCCTTATGTGACATGTCCTGGCCATGCTCAGGCCTGGACCACACTGCCACAGCTCCGCTGTCTGCAGCCCAAGCCACTCCACTGCATCTCTGCATCCTTCTGGAAACTCTCTGGGCACAAGGAGTAGGCGTGCCAAGCTGGCACAAGGCTGGAGCTGAGCTTCCTGGGGCTGGATTTCCCTGTCAGGACACAAGCCCTGGGGGCAGTTTGTCCCCTCCCAGATAGGGTGTGGGACATGTCCCTGCCCGCTGCGGGCAGCCCCAGCTTTGGGGAATATCAGCTGCTGGGGACTTTCTGTTTATCCCTTGGGGTGAAATAAAGAAGGGGAAGCTTCATCCTTGCTGCAGCATTCCGCAGGGCTTTTATCCCAGAGGATGCTGACTGGAGCTGAGACAACACCAGGATGGGATCGCTGGTGGCTCCCATGTCCCCTCCCGATGGGGACAGGGTGGCAGGACTCTCTGCAGGGACTCACCCACAGCTTCCCAGCACAGCCTTATCAGTCCAGCACAGGCCTCTCTGCCGGCACGTGCGAGCCCAGGGTGTGGATGAGGGGCATTTTTAGCTCTGTCCCAAACTGAGGGAGGAGGTTTGCAAATCCTGCTTGGCCCYCAGTGACAAAAGGGACTGCAAAATTCTGCGCTGCTTTCTCCCATCCTCCTTCTCCCAGCTCCCTCGAGGCCCCTGTGTTCAACGAGCTGCTCCTGCCCCAGGACCCTYGCACCACCTGCTCACAGGGCGAGGGTTGGAAAGCACTTGGAGACTTCCAGCTGCAGAGTTCAGGCTGGAAATAGAGCTGGGGAACTGGTTCTACCCTCACCCCATTCCACTGGATTTTTCTGTAATTCTTTAGGAAGACAAACAGAAAGTTGTTTTGTAGCTGCAGGTCATGTAAAAAAAAGAGCTGCATTTTAAAATCCAAGCAAGGAAGAGCTGGATGGAAGGGCTAAATGTGATTTGACAGGATCCCTCTAACCGCATGCCTCTTAATTTCCAAGTCTGATCAGAGCGACTGGACAGCCAAATAAATGAAGTAGTGCATATAATTGAATCTCTGCTCAGATGTTCAACTATCTGCCAGCACGCCCTGCCCTGCCTGCGGGAGCTGGGGGACGCRGCCCCCGAGCAGGACCCTCCCCTTCCAGACACTGACAGCTCCCGAGGGGAGAGGGATCAGAAACACAGACCACTCCAGGCAGCTCTGAGATCCCGCTGGACCCYGGGGGTCCTGGGGGGATTTGCCTGCCCCCAAATCCCAAGTGATGGATGGGACCTGCTGGGGACAGTGCCTGGCTCCCGTCCTGCCTGCGTCAGCAATGATTACTTTTTTTTCCTTGGATCATACTGCCCTTTGGAGCTTTGGAGTTATCGAACGGGAGTGATGGGGGGGTGGGGGGGGGGTGCAAAGGGCTCCTATAGAGTGACCACGTCCCTGCTGCCCCTTCAAATTAAGGGTGAAAAGGGGAAGAAACCACCAACCCCTACCTGGGGCTGTGCGCTGGGATATCCCTGTCCCACTCAGACTCGGGGGGGGTGGGGGGGATGCGGGGGGCCGAGTGACCCCACGGGGGCGCGTGTCAACCCCCATCTGCGCCTCCCCCGGTGCCCGTGCAACGCGACACCGCGCAGCGTCCCCGGCTCGGGCACAGCCGTCCCGCGCGGGGCCGGGCGGCGGAACGACCCCGACCGCGACCCCCACCCCCGCAAGGCCACGGCGGAGCGAGCCCCGCGGAGAGCGGTCCCGGGCGGGCGCGGGGGGACGCGGCACTCACCGTCCTGCGCGGGCACGGTGGGCACGGCGAGCTCGCGGATGCGGCGGCTCCAGGCCTGGGCGATGCGCAGGTTGCCCTCGGCATCGGGACCCCGGGAGACGCGGAAGGTCCGCTCCAGGCGCTGGCGAGCGGGCGGTCCCCAGCGCGGCCCCCGCAGCGGGTAACACACCAACGAGAAGCAGGCGGCGGCCGCGGCCGCGGGGAAGGCGGCCGAGCCCACGCAGTCGGCCAGGCGGAGCGCGGCGTCGGGACCGGCCGAGCCGCCCGAGCAGCCGCCGGCGCGCCGCACCTGCAGCTCCCGGGCCGTCAGGGACAGCGAGCAGGCGGCGGCACCGGGGGCCGGCCCCGCGCCGAAGATGCCTTGAAGTAGCACCGGGCCCCCGCCGGGCTCCGGGGGAGCGCGGCGGCCGGCGGCCATCGGTGGAGCGGGCGCGGAGCGGAGCGGGAGGCACCGGGGAGCGCCGCCCGCCGCCGCTCGCTGCTGACGCCCGGCGATGGCAGGCGGGGCGGCCCCATTCATAAAAATTTAACCCACCCCCCCGGCCACCTCTTCCCCCGCCGAGGGGGCCCGTCCCAGGGCTGTGCCGACACCCCCACGCCCCTCGGCAGCTGCCTCGGTGTCCCTAAGCGCCGCCCCGCGCCCCGGGCAACGCTCCGGGGGGAACCGGCTCTKCAGACGGGCGGGGGCAAAGTGACGCCGTAGGTTTGCCGCGGGCGGTTCTGCGCTGCCGGGCTGCGTGTCTGGCGTGGGTGCTCCCACGGTGCTGGGGATGGCAGGGAACCGACCGTGACCCACGGTCACGCCGGGAGAGGGGCGGCAGAGCACCGTGCAGCCACCCCCGCCCCCACCACAGTTCCTGCACATCATTTCCAGCAAGGCACGGATGGGCGCTAGCAGGGGTCCCTGGAGCCCCCACGTTGGACACCGTTTCTGCATCTCTCCAAGCACGACAGGAGAGGAACAAAGCAGGGCCTGGAGAAATCGAGGCACGGTGAGGGCTGAGAGCAGTGGGCAGCCGGCGGGGGACACTTCCAGGAGGRAGGATGAAGAGGGATGATGTTCTACCCAGTACTGGTGGCTCGCCATCAGGTATCTGTGAGGGTTGGAGGGTGCCATGGGCATGGAGCCCTATGGAGGGAGGTGGGCTGTGCTGTGAACCCGACCTTGCGGCACAGAGCTCTGGGGACAGAGCCCAGGGGACCTGCCTGGAGGGTGCCAGCAWGGCTGGGAGCTGCTTTGTGTTCATGGCACCTGGCAAAAATCATTGACAGCATTTTTCACTGGCAACAGGACTGACCTCACCCTCCCAAGGGACCAYTGGGCTCCAAGGAGTCTGGCTCAGCCCAACAAGGATTGTTATTTTGCCAACTAATTCCCCATGGATGTAGCTCTGTCCTAACCTTGAGCTTGCACCTCAGGGAGGCGTCACTCCTCACACTTAGGGCAGTTTAATTAGCAGTGAGCCCTCTGTCCCTGCTTAAACCTTCTGGAACTGGCCAAGAAATTGCAGGAAAGGCATGGGATGACCAGCTGGTCAGATAACATGGTTGAGTCTTATTTTCCCAGCGGTGATGTAAGGGAAGAGACAAGATGCTGTGATTTGGAGCATCGTGCTTTCTAGAAAAACTTCCCTGGGTGCTGTGGGTACAAAGAGATGCTCAGAGGGGCAAAACCTGATCCCAGCCCTGATGTTTTGGGTTGAGAACTGCAGCACTTACAGCTGATTCAGGTGAGATTGGGGCTCAGCCACTTCCCCAGTCACTGCCATGACACAGTCGAGCGTTTGTAAACAGCCCTGAGGTTCCTCAGCAAGGTGTCATGGGAGGAAATAGCTGGATGCCGGGGATTGCAGCGTCCTGACCTGCCCCTCACCCTTCTCGGTGACTAACCCATTCCCAATTTCCGCTCAGGAAGGCATGAGTCGTGCTGGGAGGATGTGAGAGCAGCTGTCCCACTGCTCCTGGCAGGTGCCATGGGACGATGAGGCTGCTTTGGGCTTTGTCCTCACCATGCTACATCCGTCCAAGGCCCCATGCCACAGGGATCCCCCTTGGTCCTGCCAGCCTGAGCTTTAAATAGGAGTGGAATGCCCGTCCAGGCTCTGCTTGCTGGAAAAGGCAGAGGGGCTGAGAGTGGGGCTGAGAGTGGCTTTATCGCAAGGTGTTGAGGCTAGCAGTGGATGCAAGAAGGGTTAGGGAARGGCTGCCCATGGCAGGGATGCCAAGGGCAGGGAAATGCAGCCAGGTTTTTCTCAGATGAAGAATGGTACTGGTGCAAGGTTGGCTTCCGTGATAGCAGGGGATACACACCCAGGGCTTTTCCATCTCAGTGCTGGCCTGTAGGGACTTCACACAAGCCTGATGCTGTGCCACCATTGAATGCCCACTCCATCCTGTGGACAGTGTGGTGGCCACCACCAGCCCCAGGCAGGTSCCTTTGCTCTCCGCAGCCACAGGCTGATTCAACCTGGTCCCACACAGGCACCACTTGTTTGCCTCCAGATGTGATGTCTAAGACAGAAGTGGGATCACTTATTTCCCTGCACTGATAACCAGTTGTTTGGGGCTATCTTAATTAGAGAGCCTTAACCAGGCCCCTCGACCCCACCAGCAGCCCAGAGGGAGCTCAGCAGCTCCCAGGCTGTGGGCAGGCATCTGATGATCGGGTTTGTCCTGATCAGCTCCATTCCTGCCCACGTGGCACTGCTTGGGCTGTGTGTGTGGGAGGGAAGTGCCGGGATGTGATGTGGCACACAGCTGGCGTGCCAGGGGCACAGCTTGTGTAGAATCCCCCCACCTCCTTCCTCATTGCAAAGGGGACTSGCCCATGGAGCAGATGTCCAGTCCAGCCATGACCACCAGTCTCCTTTCAAGAGCAAACACTCCTCTAACTCCTCTCCTGAGAGGACTCCAASGGTATCCCAGACTCTGCAGACATCATTCGGGAGAAAAGGTTTGTACATTTGAAGCACCGTGCTCTGGGTTTACTGGGGAAGGTCWTGTGTGTCCTGAGTTTGGGGAAATTGAGGTAGAAGAAGCAAGCAAGGTTTGTCTTGAGTTGTGCAAGAAGCCAAGGGTTAAATATGGCAATAACCTCYCTCAGCTCCCTCTGGCTCCTCCTGCTCCTGCCCCCAGCTGCTCCAGAAGCTCATCCATTCTGGGAGTTATCCTGGGGGAAGAAAGCACAGAGCCTGGGTACTTCCCAGCCCTTCCATAATCCTTTGTGCCCTGGGGGCTGCAGCAGAGACCTGGGGCTCTCAGTGCCAGGGCAGGCCCGGATTTTGGGGTCCCACTGCCACATCACAGCCCTGGAGGAGGCATGCAGAGGACSTGGCTCTGCTGCAAGATGAACTGCAGCGTTTCCCTTCGAGGCTCACAGCTCCTCCACTTCCCTGCCTGCTCTGCCACGTCCGCCGGCAGCCACTCGGGGACGTGAACGGGCGGGGGATGCACTCCTCCCGGATCCATCTCTTTTAGCATCGTTCCCACTGCTGAAGGTACATGTCTCAAGGTGGAGCCAGAAATAGCACGGCTGGCGCTGCATCGGGGCTGGCAGGGCTGCAGGCTTGGCAGGGGGACAGGCACCGACTGCAGCAGTGGGAACTTTCCAGGCAGCTCCTGCGGGAGCGGCCAGTGCAGACATGGAGCCCTTTCCATACAGACCCATCCTGGGACTGCACATCGGCCCCTTTTAGCTATGGGGCTGGTGCTGATACGAGTGACCAGCACAGAGCAGGAGGGGACAGAGCTAATAGAGTCAAATGACTGGGATCACATCCCACCTGAGCTAGGACACAGGTCCGGGCTCTGCCATTTATTTGCTGCACAACACGGGCTGCACCCTCTCCCTGCCTCCATGACACAGGCATGGCAGGTTTCCCCCAAAATCCAGCTTCTCTAGGGGCCCAGGGAGGATTCTCAGCCTCCAAGGAGATGAGGGGGTGTTTGTGGCAGCTCCTAAATCACAGCCAGGCTCTGCAACTTGTTGGGGGCTGCTCCCCAGCGCTGACCCTCGGCTGAGCTCTCGGCAGCTGCCRGCACAGTCCAGGACCACAGGGCTCACTGGGAAGCCCTGAAAAATGCCATTTAGGTGAGCTCATGCCTCCCAGCTGATGATTTGCTCAAAAATATTTCTGAGCTCAGGCCTCCTCAGGGAAAACACTCCCAAACAYCAGGCAAAAAGCTGCTGAGTCTGGAGGAGCCACACACACACCACTCTCTCGTCGAGACGTCCCCCCGGTGACAAGCCCTGGCGTCAGAGGGACTGAGGCCAAAGTTCTGCCGTTTGATCTCCCCCCTCGCTGGAGGAAGCCGAATTTCAGGCCGTCCAGGGTTTTYACCACTTCCTGGTAGAGGTTTCCTGCCATGATGTGAGCGCAGGAATTTTTGGGAGCTGAGTCAGAGGCTGCAATGAGAACCACCTGGCTGCAGCTGGGATGGGAGGCTCCATCCCAGTCCAGGGGTGATCCCTGCTGCGATGCTCAATGCCTGTGGGCAGCATTCCCAGAGTGGAATTACTTACAGCGGACACAACATCCCATCACAGACCCCATTTCTGGTCTGGGAAAGAAGAAGAGGGATTTGCTGCCTCAGTTCCCACGACTCCTCCTTCCTTGCCAGGCTGGGATCGGCATGCTTCAGCCACCCCACCCGGGCTCCAGGGAGAAACTTGGGTAAGAATAAAGAGCAAAACCTCATCCAGCTTTGCAGGAAGCCGCCTGGTATGGCTGTCCCGCCCCAGCACCAGGTTGTTCCAGCATGGAACTGCCCCAAAGCAGTGCCGAGGCCTGGTTTTCCCTGGTGAGCAACGCAGGACYTGGCGCAGCTCAGGAACTCCCCTCCCCGGTCGCTGTAATTCAACATAGAAAACGAGTTCCTGCTAAAGGAACCTCCCAGGTTTTGCCTGCTGGGCTATTAAAGCTCCATGACCCCCTGCCCACTTTCCCCCCAGCATTACTCAAACCTCTTTGCACAGAGAATAAGTGAGCCGAGTCCAGAGAGTGAGACTGAGCCGGGATAAGCCTTTGGAAAGGAGCTAAACCTGCTCAAAGCCAGCACTGTTCCCTGACCCGCCCTCCTAATCCTGCYTGGCTGATAATGGAATAATAAAGGGCTGCACAGCCTCGCTCTCTGCTGCGCTGTGGGGGAGGTTCCTGCTGCCTCTGTACATGCCAGGAGCTTGGATATTAATGACTCCCTAAGTAAACAGAATTGCTCCTTTCTTCTCCTTCGCCTGKCTGTAAAACCGAACATGACCTTCAGCCCGCAGAGAAATCAGAGTCGCTCCCCTTTCCAGGAGAAAGGCTGGTTGTGGCAGTGATAACACCGTGATCTCTGCCCTCCACCCTTCCCGGGGCTGATCCCAACCCCACAGCTTCAACAGCGATCCCAATGGGACTTGCAGGGCCACCCCTGTGAGAGATGAAGCTGGTGATTCAATCGAGGAGGAATTTCAGGAACACAGAATGGGTGATTTTGGGACACCCAGCCCCTGCATGGTGTGCACATCTTGTCTCCTGTGCCGGGGGCTGCCCTGCAGCAGAACCTACAGACTTGTTACATCTCAGCATYAGCAGCTGGGAAAAGGAGCAGGGAGGTGGGATCCATTCCCTGTGGCTCTGAGCACCCCATGGGACAGCAGSAATGGTGACAGGAGGAGGGTGCTGGGGGACCTGGAGGACAAAGCAGAGGCTGAGGGCACTCAGAGACCGCAGCATCATCCCTGGGCAGCTGTGCTGAGGCTGCTGAGCGAAGAGCCAGCTGGGAAGGGGATAAACAGCCCTTTCTGCTCTGCATGCCTGATTGCAGCCAGGGAAGGGCATTATAGAGGGCAGCAGCAGGTCTCTGGGAGGAATTGGAGGGAGGCTGAGTGCTCTGAAGAGCCGTGTGCCATGACTCCTGCAGTGCCAGGGTTCCCTTCCYACYCTTGGGGTATGTCCCCCACTGCTTSGGTSTTCCTGCAGCAGGATGTCCCTGCCTCCCTGGGCGCTGCCATTTTTCTGGTGGGTGCACTAGGGACTTCAGAAAGCAGCCAACTTCCTCCATCACAACAACAGTCAGGCTCCCCCAAGATTTTTTGAAGGACAAAGCCAGCAACCTGTGAGGAGTGACCGCCCTCAGCCTGGGGTCGAGGTGCTCAGAATGGGTGTCTGGGCTGTCTGACAGATGCTGTGGATTCATCCTAGGATGATGCCAGCCTGGGGGCTCGATCAGAGTCCAATGCCTGGCTGTGCTGCCTCCTCAGAGTGAACTCGGGCAGCTGATGCTGTCAGCTCTTGCCTCGCCTTGGGGGAATGAACCAGGATGTGGGCGTTGAGCTGGAATAGCCCCTAGAGCCGAGCTGGAATAGCCTCTGCTCTGACCAGGCACGGATTGAGGACTGGGGGAGGCACATCAGGAGAGAAGTGTGGGGCTGGAACTGCAGGGACAGGTAAGGTGTCACCAGGTGTGGTGCAGGGAGACARAACTCTCCATCCCTGTGCCTGRGCTTGTCCAGAGGGGACATGGACARTTCTGTCTCGTTTGCATGGAGGATGTTGGAGAGAGACRACCTTTAATGAAGTGTCAGCGCAGTGGGGCTGAAGGCAGCGCTGTAGCTCCCAGGTGAGCACCAAATGTCTGTGACAGGGACTCACTGCTGGAGGCAGCATGGTCATCACGCACCAGAGCAGCCACAGAGCCACTGGATCATGGAGGGGAAGCTGAACCTCCTCCATGTCCTGAACCAAGCTGACCAGGCCTCCTCCTTCTCTCTCCCTTCCAGCTGGGATGACACAGGCCAGGGAACGATGATATTGCACAGCGACTTAGAGCACTGCCAGGAGAAACCTCTCTTTCCAGAGAGAACCAAGTGATGTGGGGCGATGCTGGTGATTAAATTAATGCCTTTTGCCTTCCTTATGATATCTGATTTCTGTCATATATCCTCATTTCTGCTGCTTCTTGGGGTGCTCTGAGCCATCCTGATCACAGGAGATGGATCCCAACAGTGTTGTCACCTCCCCTCATTTTCCCAGCTGCCAAGGCTGAGATTCATATTGTATATATATATATATATATATATACACAAATTTTGAAAAGACAAACACATATATATATTTGTTCAGCCAAGTTTCCCCTCCTCATATATATATCTCGATATATATATCGATATATATATATCCAATGCATACAAAAGATATAGCATCTAATATACACTTATATATTATTACTATACACATTATATGATGTGCATATTATGTATGATTACTATACATGTTGTATGATCTGCATATTATTTATGATTGCTATACACATATGACATGCATATAATGTGGTAAGTATACTATATATTATGCATTCAGTATTTAATATTTTACATATTTTTATATACTTATATTTTAGACATAACATGTATATATAATTTACATAATAATAAATATACACATTAATAGATGTAATTTATAGGTGTTACAGATGTTATCTATAAGCACACTCATAGTGCATAGAAAGGTCAGCCCAGTGCACTGCCAGATGGGTTGGAGCTGAACTTTCCCGTTTAATTAAGCCATTCAGTGACTGTACCCGCSAGAAACTTTGTCCCCATTGCAGAGCGGACAGGAGCGGAGCGCCGGGCAGGGGTCGTCCCCTCACGAAAAATGCGCGGGAGCCGCGGGCCAGGCCCGGCGGGGCGGGCGGGTCCTCCCACCGCGCCCGCCATAGAGCGGGGCCAGAGCGCCGCCGCCGCGCTTCCGTTTCCCCCGCCGCCATCTTGGTCACGGGCACTGGAGTCACCGCGTTCAAMCCGTGCCTGGCACCGCTGGGCAGAAGCGGGAGGCGGCCGCGCTGTGAGCCGCCCGCAAGCAGCGGGAAGTACATCTATCCCCTGAGGGGGTAAGTTCCGCAGCTCTTCTCCCAAAGTACTGGCGCTGTTTGGGCAAGGGGTGAGGGGACACCAAGAGGAGCGAGAGTGGCTGCGCTGCCCTCACCTAAGATGGCGGCGGGGGCGGGCTCTTCCCGCCGAGAAGATGGCGGTGGAGGGAGCGGCGCTCTGGCCGGGCGGCGGAACTCGCTCGGCTGGGTGAGGGGAGTGGGAGGGCACCGACCCCTCAGGGATCCCTCCCTCACAGGGACAATGTACCCCGCCACAGACACCCCGGCCCAGCCCTGCTGCATCACAAAGAACACCCCCCAACCTTCCTCCCTCAGCTCACCCGCACCTTGTCCAAGCAGGAGAGCCCCTCTCCCCYTTGCCATCCCCACTCATTTTGGGGTTATCCCTCCCCTGTTGCATGAGGGGCCACTGAGTGGGCGTGGGGTGAGTTGGGGTTACYCGCTCCCTGCCCACCCCCTCTACTCCCCAAGGCAGCTGCTGCTCCATTTTATTTCAATATTCATAGTTTTCATCYTCCCTTTCATACTTTGCCGCAGGAATGGACCAGCTAGTCCATAGGTAGCGGAAGGCTCCCCTCCCTCCTTTTCCTCCTCCTCCTCCCCACCCCTTAAGGGGCGGTGATCRCGCCGGAGAGGAAAGAAAAGGATGCCACGGAAGCTGTTGTTGCCTTATAAATCTGTTTTTTCTCACTTTCGAGCTCCACAGGGGTTGCATGACWCTTTGGCGATGAACGCGGCCAGAAGTGGCTACCGGGTCTTCTCGGCCAACTCCACCGCAGCCTCCACCGAGCTGGCGAAGAAGATCACGGAGTAAGTTCCCTTCTCTTTCAAGTTTCTTTCTCCCCCATCGCTCCCCMGCCCAGGCAGGAGCCCTCYCGAGCTGCTGGAGAAGCTTCTGGCATCCCCAGCCTTCCAAGGCATCTCCTGCGAGTACCTTTGTGGAGGTTTTTTACTGGGAATCTTCACTAGCTCTGCCTGATCCAGCGATGGAAACGGACCCACCGCTTTCTCCCTTCTTTGACATCCATTTCACTGCTGGAAAGGCTGCGCTGTTGCATGGGCTGTTACTCTTGGGGAGGGAGGAGGTGAAACTTGAGTGGACAAAMCTCAGAAAAGCGTTTTTAGCATGTTTGGAAGATGCTCAAAACTTTCTTCGGCTTCTGACCTTGTTTTCCTGAGTGCTTCAGTGCCTGGGGCACGGGGAGTGTCCGTGTACGCCTGGTCACACAACACCTTGCATTGACCAGCCTGGATTTTGGGGAGGTGGGAGAGCTGGGCGCTATGTGCTGTTTAGTTCAGGATAGATGTTTGCCTTCAGCCCATCAATTTGGGCAGAATTTGACCTTGTCTTGTCCGGGAGGGATGTGCTGGGTTCTGCTGAGTGAGGGGTGTGACAGCTGCTTCCAAAATGGGGMTCTTGGTGCACAGAGGGCTGAGTTTCCCCCAGCAGTTGAACTTTTGGGTATAATTAGTTTGTTTCAAATTGGGGCAGTCCCAGCTGAAGGAAGGGACTATTCTGGGATGGGCATCTCTGTGGCGTCAGGCTGTTGTCTTAGAACAGCGTTTTGATTTTTTTTTTCTGCTGTTTCTGTAGTTCATAGGCAGCTGCTCCCAAAATCRAAGGGTCTCAGTGCCTGTTTTCCTGCTGTTGCTGACAACATCCCTGTTATCCTTGCTAGGCAGCTGCTGCCCCATTCCATCTSCAAGGGCGTGCTTAAATTGGAAACACAACTTAAGTACAGGTGTGCTGCCACCTTAAACTGCAAGAGCACTTTGCTGTTCATACCTCTCACTTAATAAACACTGTTCAATCCTTAGCACAGATTATCTCCACWGAGCTGACTTGGCTTTTTGGCTGGGATGTGTGTTGGATGATAGTGATGGACTTCTTTGAGTGTGAGGCTAAGATGAAGGTTCTTGTGTTTGGGAGTGGAAAGCTTTTTTCTTTTTGGCTCACATATTCTTGCTATATTTGGTCAGTTCTGTATCACTTTCCCTTCACTGAACCCTGATACTAACATCTCTCTCTATAAAAAAGCAAGTTTTGCTGCAACAGATGGGACAGAGTTTCACAGGGCTTGTCRTGTTGCGTCAACATAGCAGAACAGAATTCCCCTGGGGACGAGTTCTGAGTTCTCAGGACTGAAAGAGCAAACGGGCAATCCTTATTCCTTGTTCTTTGTCTTAAAAATAACTCCCTTCTTTTTAAAGATGAAATGAGAAGAGACACRGAGAGGCTTCCCCAGGCKACGGCGCTGGYTGGGATGATAAGYTGATGTTATCCYAGGGATGCTCTGRGGGGGAAAGAAGCAGGATCTGGATCCAAAGTGACCTCCCAGCTCCCTCCTTGGTCTCTCACCAAGTAAATTTCTAATGGGGTGATGTGGGGTTTTTTCCCTTGGCTCTGCCATCCATGGGATATTGGTGGTGGCATGAGCATAGCCCTGTGATACACACAGCTGCTGCTTAAGTGAGGCTTAAGGACATTTCTCTTTGTTGTGGGGAAAGAATCTGGAACCATTCACAGTACAGCTTTTCCCACAGTAAAAAGTCGCCCAAAATTAAAGGTATTTTCAGCATGTATTGCAGTGGTTTTGCACTGCCTTCCCTTAGGAGCTCAAGGGCTGTTTCAGCTGATCTTTAACCCATCCCTTGTTCTTTCAGGTTGCAAAAGATGCGTGGCTGCTGCCTTTCCCCCTGTCTCACATCCCAACCTGTTCTTTGCTGGGGAGGTCAGGTGCACCTCTAAATAGAGTTGGAGCAATCTTACAAGGGTGAGTCTGTCCTCTAATATTGTGCGTTCTTTTTAAAGTTCTTTTATRACCTTAAGTAAAAGTAGTAAAAGAACTTTCAAACAACACACAATATTAGGAGTAGGGCCCCTTGAGACACCTGTCTATCTGGGCTGTGTTCTTTMCCTGTAGGTATGAATTTAAAATCTCTACTTCAGTAGTCCTGGCTTATCCTTTTTAAAATCTCAAGCCTGGAGAGGAGCAGTGTGACATTGACCAGCTTTCAGGCCCCTGATTTATCTCCTTGCTTTGTTTACTGCAAAACTTCCAGAGCTGCTTTCGGTTCAGGCTCTGAGCATCATCTTCTGGCACAGTTCTGATCTTTACRATTCCCCTTGAGCCTTCTCTGGTTATGGGACAGTGATTAATGGTCAGTCTTACTTTCACTTTAGGTTTTCAGAGCTTTAGTTGATGGTAGTGTCTGCTGGGGAGAGGAGACAGTGCTGGACTATGAAAACCAAATACCTTGTGAAACCTGAAATAATGAAGATACTCTTTAAATTCAGCACCACTGAAACATAAACCCATTTACTTTTCTCTCATAAATTGAGARGGGTGGTTATTTTATTTTAAATTCTTTCCCTGATGGAAAGAAAAACTCCTGCTGTAATTAGGACACTTGGCACCTGATTACAAGCTTCATTTGCAGGGGAGAAAGATAATTTCTGTGACCAGTGCTGATCCCTAATGGGCCTGTGTGCTGCTGGGGGGAGGAAGGTCTAGCAAGTCTTTTTGATCTTCAGTCCAACAGATGCATTTAGATCTCCCTCTGACTGCAGTGCTTGGCTCAGAAGCTACAAATATTACATTCTGCTCACTGCTTATGTGTTTGGGTTGGAGGGGATTGGTGATTGAATCTTGTTAATGCCTCCCCAGTGCTCCTGCAGCTCTGTGATGTGGGATGTGATACTGTCTCAGTGCCAGCTGAGGATGTGAGTATTCCAGACATTCACTCGGTTTGCAGCATGGAAAATGCTGGTGATCTGAAGATAAAGCATTGCCATGAGCCTAAACAACGTGGGGATTTGTGTTTCGATCTCTGGCTGAAGGGAGCTGGGTCACAATGCTAAACCCCAGGGTGGTGTTTTCTGGGACTGGGTGGGAGGTGAGCCCTGCTTTGGGGGGAGACTGCATTCAGAGGATTTGCAGCAGCCTTCTTCAGCTGAAGGAGCATTTCTGGTAGAAAATGTACTCCTTAGTACATGAGAAGGTGGCAGAAGGGAGTCAGACCTCTGCAGTTTAGGTGGAGCACAGAATGTGGCTGAGCAGGCTGGGCTCRTGTGGAGCTTTCTGTGCTGGCCAGCACAGCTTATGGGGGAAGTTCCTTCACAAGGAGGGGGCTGGTAGGAGTAGAGGAAAATCTGCCTGGTATTTGCCAGTAGTTAGGCTGCGTGGCTCTGGCATGGCTGGAAAAAGTTATTCCAGTGGCAGATGAGYAGTAGGGACTGTTCTTCCAATATCCAGTCATGCTGGGTGGATGGAGAGAGGTAAAGGAGTGCTCAGATAGTTTTGAAGATATCTGTACAGATTGTATCCAGGAAGCTGCCATTCCCTTTCCCTTTCCTGGCTGTTCTTGCACTGGGGGATTAGGAAGTGCACYGCAGAGCTGCCATTGTGCTGGGTGGACCATGACTGATCTTTATTTAAAGATTTACTAAAGTTTGAAAAGCAATTCAGAGTCAGGCTGTGGCTTGATTTGGCCATGGTCAGGCACGGCAYGGACTCTCTGCCCTCAGCTCCAGCTCTTTCTGAGTCTGCACAGGTTCCTGGAGTCTGTAGATATGGGTAGAGTTAGGAGTTTGCAGAGCTGAGGCCAGGGAAAGTGTTTGTAATGAAGAGGATATTGCCAAAATAAAATAATGTCATAATTAAGAGATTTGTGTGCAGATTTCTCTCCAAATTGAATGCTTGTGCTGTGAGCTGGCCGGAAGCTCCCTTCAGAGATAACCTGACAAATGTCTTGGATTCTTGTCACAGAGGGGGAGAAGGAAACAGCCTGGGCTGGGGGCATTTCTTAGTGGCAGTGAAACAAAATACTGATGGCACAAAATAATGCAAGTGCATTTGCCCCCTGAAATTTGATTCAGCTGRACATGGAGTCTCTTTGGCTGTCCTTGGTCTCGAGAGCCTGGTACAGTAGTTTTTGACAGTCTTCAGTGGAGCATTTTGAAGTACAATCTAATACAGCCTTGCAGTGTTTCCTAAAATACTGCAGTGTGTCACTTCCTCATTAAACTATAGGTGACTCCTGAGCTGTTTGCATTTAGATGTGAATTTGAGACAGGTTTTATAAACACTTTTGTATTCACAGCTTAATGTCCTCTTGGCGTGTTTTGAGACTGCGGAAAGTTAGATCATTCTTCCTGGGCAGTGTTTACAGACAGATTCCAAATCAATAGGAATTTTTACTGGCCAGTTATTCTGAGTAGGAATTTTAAAGCCATAAAGAGGTTTTGTTTTTTTTTTTTTTTCTCTTAGATGCTGTCATGCCCCAGAGGAGTTGGTTTAGTGATGGAGCTGATGTGAGGATGGCAGCTTGTTTTCCTTGGAGATGTGATTTGTCTGCAGGACCTAAAATGTTATTTTTCCCAGAAGCAGSCTTATTTCTGCTGAGTGTGTGGTCTGAGTTACCTGCAGTGGCACCTTCTCTGTCCCAGTGCAGGTCTGCCTGTGTCTGCAGATGAATGATCAGTAACTGTGATAGCCTGGGTTCGTGTGATTATGCTGTTAGTGCTGAAGCTGGATGAAAACAGTTCATGCCATCAGTTCAATTCCTCTATCCCCTAAAGCAACARCCAGTTGGGAGCTTCAGGATGGAGGGGATTTAGAGAGAAGAGTTGGTAGAGARGAGAAAACAAGGGAGAGGTAATAAGGGGAAATTTATCTTTTGAACTCTATGGCTGCTGCCAGGCTGTGTGGTCGATAAGGCTGTGCCCTGCCCTTGACTTCCATGCAAATATCCCTTTTGATAAAAGTSCTCTGGAATTTGGTGCTTTACAGCGGGACTTGCACCAACTGTCCCCTCTTTATTGTCCTTGACTCAGTCAAGGTTTATCAGCTCCTGGCTGATATCTTGGCYAACCGAAGCCTTCCGGAAGAGATTTGGTGCAAGGTGTGCCCCTGGGGTGCACATACCTCAGCTGCTCTGGGGGACTTGCCTGTGGATTATGCTGCATCTGAGGCTCCTGAGACTCTGGAGCGCTGCAGGCAGGGCTGATCTGGGACTTTTGTGGGCAGTTTTATCTCTGTTTACTTGCAGTCAACAGTTTGAGCAGAGCTGGGATTTATTGTCTGACCAGAGCCACTCATTTCTCTACACTGGCACCTGTGTCTTCTGCTGTTTCCTGCACCCAGGTTTGACAATTGAGCTCTTTTAGTGCCCCAAGCCAAGGTATTTTAGTGTCCCTCTTGCCATGGGGAGTAAATTTGCCTTTCTGATTTCTTGTTTCAGCAGCACAGAAACTGCATTGCTGCTGTGCAGTCTGAATTGGAGAGCACTGGGCTCTGGTTTCTTCTTGCTGCCTACATCACGGAATCATGGAGTTGGAAAAGATTGAGTCTAGCMWTTAACCCAGCTCTGCCAAAGCCACTACTAAACCACATCCCCAAGTGCCTCATCTGCTTGTCTTTTAAGTCCCTCCAAGGATGGTGACTCCACCACTTCCCTGGGTGGCCTATTCCAGACTTGACAACCCTTTCAGGGAAGAAATGTTTCCTAATATCCAATCTAAACCTCCCCTAGTACAATAGGGGTATGTAGTACAATATTTCCCATTGMGAACCACAAATACAGTTTTGTTGCCACCACATAGCACTGAAAGTACCACCTTCCAGGGTGTGTTTGGCTGAGATGAGTCTGGCTGTCCTTTTTTTCAGAGGTTTTTTTTCCTGCCATGAGGTTTAGGGCTAACTAAAAGCAGTCTCTCCAATGGATTCTTTTTCCCCAGTGCTGAGGTAGGGACGTGCTGTCTGCAGTGAAGTCAGGGTGCACGTGCCTCCAAAAGGAGCTTGCAGGACTCAATGTGCAGTTGTGGAGGAGCAGGTGTGAGTCATTAAATATTTCCCACCACACACTGCTTTGGGGTGTGTGTGTTTGTGTGTGTGTGTGTTTCTGARCTTGTTTGGACTTGGATGCCCTAGCAGTGATTAGGACTAAGCTAGGTGATTGCAMATGCTAGACTGTCGTCGTCAGGACAGCAGAATCCCACTTGCAAAACTCACCTCTACTATGATTTTATCCCTGAGGTGCCCCGGATTGCCTTTACTTGACCAGCTGCCAGATGCCAAAGATCCTGAGGATGCCTTTGCATTGCAGCTGCAGGTTATAACCCAGCTGGGCTGAGAGGAGCCCAGATCTGGGTTCGAGAACCTTGTCTGGCCTGGGCTGCAGGGTGATGCTGCAGTTGGTACCCGAGCTGGGTTGGTGACAGTCTGGCACGTACAGCTCTCGAGGTGGCAGCTTAGTCACCAGCCCAACCATTGCAAAATGTACTGCCAGACACTCGGTGGGGAGGGTGTGTATGCCAGAGACGTGCTTTGGAGCCAGCTAAGCAAACATATCCCATGGCATCCAAGTGTGTGTTATCTCAGCTGTCCCAGGCACACTCCCCAGGCCAGCTTCTTGCTGGGACCTCCAGCTTTGGCTCACAGCTGAGCCCAGCAGTTGCTGATAGGACAGAAGCGTGCCAGGGTCAGCCTGTGTTGCTCTTTCACTTCTGAAAACACAAATCTTTRTGACAACTGAAGTGCAAGGCTGAGTCAGTGGGTAAGGAGATGGAGAGAGACCGACTGCTGAAGGCTGTAGACCAGGAACCAACAGCAGATGTGTACTCTTTATTTAGGGTTGGTCCTGAGCTGCAGAATTTTGGCACATATCCAGGTAAATACAGTACAAGTGCAGACAGGAAACTGCTGCCATAATCAGTGTGGTGAACAAAGGTATTTTTCAGGCATAAAGTGTTTCCTAATCCATTGTGTGGGCAAGACCACTGAGCAGATCCTGGGAGAGGAGGGAATTGCCCCTGCTGCATCCCTCTTGGCCCAAGCATCTCACTGCTGCAGGGTCTCACAGCTGAGGCTCCGGGTTAAAGCATAAATGCCTTTAAGTACTTACTAATGGATTACTTGTCAGTACAGTTAAATACTAAAGTGCCACCTGAGGGGAAAGTCTGCATTCTGGAGCCTTTTAAAATGCTTTTCWAAGTAAGTCTTTGTTTTGTAAGAAAGAAATTAAAAAGAGAAAGGGRATGACTAATCTTTGTTGTGATGAATGTTGTAGATTTGGTATTTGAGAAGAGCAAGGAGTAATTTGAAAAAATGAAAAAATTGAAGTTAAAAATCTCATTAATCAGTTATTTCAGTAAGAAAGTTTGAGGAGGGAAAAAAAAAGGAAAAGACGTAGGAGTCAAAAAAAGTGACTCAGGTGCCATTAATTGAGTCTGAGTAAATCATTCAACTCTAGTTGCAMATCAGACCTGCCCAAGGGGGCATTGCACAGGCTGGCAAGGTGTCCTTTGCCATCAGGAGACACAGCCTGTGGTCAGTTGTACAAGGACTGGCTCTTTGGGTACAGCAATCACCTGCTTCAGAGTGCTGTGTCCCCGGGCCCTCTCAGGGACACCAGAGGGAAGGAGATCCCCAGAGAAGGGGAGKACTGTAGTTCTGCAGCCTGGCTGGCTCTCTCAGTTCCCTCTTGGGCAATGCACTGTTTTGGTGGTGTGTAACATGGTCCAGTCCCTGCTTTGCAGCACAGACTGTTGCATTCCTCTATTTTAACATCCTTKTTTTTCTCTCCAGGCGTCTCGGTGCTGAGCTGGGGAAATCTGTGGTGTACCAGGAAACCAATGGAGGTAAGAGAAATCTCTACTATTTGCAACGGTTTTGAGGTAGTCTTAGAAAATCTGGGTAAGTCCATTGGCCAGTCCTGTCTAAGGAGTGCAGTGATTGAGCTGGGATGTTACTGCTGCTCCTGGCAATGCTAAACCCCAATGGCTGACCTTGGACCAAGCAATTAAACGTGTTCCTTGTTTTCCCTTGTTATCTTGTTTGTTTGCCCATCTGCAAACTCTCCTCCAGAGCCCTGCCTGGGATTTTGCTGTTGCCAAACCTTTTTTGCTCCTATGCTGAGCAAAACATCTCTAGGCTTAAAAGTAATGCCCCCCCTTTTTCAGTGTCTGCCTTGTGAACTTTTAAATTATTCCCTTCTTTCAGCCCTTCCCTGTCACACAGAATTTACAGCTACCCTTGCTTTTCAAAGGGCGAATTCAGGGCTGCACTGTGGAAAATGCCTCATAGAACTTGCTTTTGCTTTTAAGGAGGTTAACACTCTGCAAGYGTCCATTTTCAAATGCTGGGCTAAAACACGAAGAGTTTGGCCAACACAATTTAGTGGCCAAGAGGCAATTACTGTTTTAAAACCTCTGTTACCTCGTTACAAAAGAGAGTAAAACCAAAGAGCTGCTACAGGCTGAGGAAGGGGTGGAGAATTTGTGGTGGTGCTGCTCTTGCAGCCCCAGTGGGCCTCACTGTGGGTGAGCTGCTATGGTTATGGCTGGGCTGGCTGGTGCATTCCTGCCAGGGAGATCTCTCTGCCCTTTGGGGTTGCTTTTAAATCAGGTTGCTTGCTGCGAGGTCTGAAGTCGTTCTTCATCACTGCACAGCAAATCAGTCTGCTGTCAGCAGAGTCCCGCAGGGTTACTGCCAGGGCCCAGGCAATTGCACTTGGAATTCCATAGCTGAAGAGCTGTTTCTCCCCTTTTGCTTGGCCCTGCCCTCTAACTCATGCCTGTATGGGAAATGAGTGGCTAAGGCAGGCACCTTGGGAAACCTGGAGTCATTGCTCTGGCTTTGCAGAGCTGCTTGGGGCTCAACTTCTGTGTTTGAGTCAGGAACTGTAGGAGTGGTGCTCAGCAGAGACCCAAACTTCCAGCCTGTGTYAGTGTTGAAATGTCTTGACCTTGACAGTTAAACTGGGGAGTTGTTGCTTTGAACTGGGTGCTGCTGGTGTTGCCTTGAGCTCTCCAACCTGCACAGAGCTGRTGCCACGGTAAGCTGTGAAAGAGCAAAGTACAAAAGAGCTGAGTTGCCTTCTTGGAAGTACTGAAGGTTGTTCTGCCTTGGGTGGTTAATTGCTCACTAATGAATGGTCTGTTGACAGCTTTCAGCACTCCATGGAGGCATGRAAAGGATTTCTCATTGAAAGTTAGGTAAATTGTCTTCTAATTTCTAGAATTCTAAATTCTAAGAAAAATAAACAGCTATTCCAGCCTGCTTTTGCTTAGTAAATACAGCTAACTCACTGGTATGTCATGCCAGCTCTACCCAGCACCAGCCTTTGGAAAATCCACTRGGCTTATCCATGTGTGTATGTGCACAAAGGGCAGAGGAGCGAGTCCTCATGTGCCCYGACCAGGGGACAAGGTTGCAGCTAAAACGTGGTGTGTTGTCACTGTCAACCTGATGTTTGGAAACAAAACTGACTCTGTTTTCAATCCTTTTCAGAAACRAGAGTTGAAATAAAAGAGTCTGTCCGGGGACAGGATATCTTCATCATACAGACAATCCCCAGGTGAGGCACTTGTGRCTCAGTTTTGCACCTGGAATGTGCTTTGAATWCCTGAATCAGCAGATATTTCAGTGGTTTTCTCACTGCTAACCAGCACAATAACCAGTGGAACTCTTGCAGTGTTGTCATTGCTTTGACTTAGATCTAGAGCCCCATGTAGTGCTAAGCTGTTAACATTTCCAGGGGATTGATTGCAACACTGAGATGCTTCCCATCAAATAGCTGGAGCGTGTCACTTGAGGCAGGAACAGGAGTGGCTGATGGCTTCCAGTGAAACATCTCTSGTGTTTCACTGGTATCTGTATGCTGGTGCCCTTTCAGGCTCAGCTGTTTGGTGATTTCTGACTGGCATTTCCATCCCAGGATGGTTGGTTTCTTCTGCCCTCCCAACTACCAAGCAGCATCAAACACCAGCTGCTGCTTTCATTACAGGCTGGATTACTCTTCTCTGCTTTCATTACAGGAGGATTACCTCTCCTCCTCCCCTTTTGCTGTAGTGATGTGAAACTGTGCTCAGGTGGAAGCCCATAGCCTTCCTCCTGTACTTTTGCAGTTCTTGATGGTGGTGAGCCTTTTTGGGTTTTAATTTGGGCTGTTCTAGGCTTGGAGTAAGAGAAGTGCTGCAGGTAACAGGGGGCTAGAAAAGCTAGAAAATCATCTGTAACCCCGGGAACMTTGCTGCTTGCTGGCTCAGGAAGAGTAGGGGGATGGCACTAGGATGGTGGGAAAGGAGCCTTCACATAAATGATAACTGCAAATCGACCTGCTGTGAGTAGGGGAGGTGCTGTTTTTAGAAATGAGGTATTGATAGGATGCCTATTRTATTATTAGGAAAACAAGGATATTCCTACTCTGATAGTTACCAAATTCTGCTCAGATTTTGGAGTTCACAAGAAGTAATGAGTAGCAGAGATCAAGCAGGTAGCTGAATTCCCTGGAAACAGGGTTTTTTCTTGCTTGCCAAAGAAATAGAGCCCACTGAGAATTCAAGTTCATTTCCTCTGTGAAATGCTTGCCCTGTTGTAAAGAAATCAGTAGGACTACTAGATCAGCTTACTTCTGGAATTCCTCTTTCAGGCAGAAACATTTTCCTAGGGCTCATCTCTTTTCAGAGAGATGCCCCAAGTGTTTCCTCCCTCAGGGAGCAACTAAATCTCTGCAAGATGAAAATCCCCTGCYGTAGGATTATGTTTCGGGTGAATGGTGCCATTCTGTTGTCCCTTGTGAGGGAGTTCTCGGAAATAACTTGTAACTGAGAGCTGTGTAAACATGAAACAGATCAAGTGTTCAGAGAGAGCATTAGGGACAGGAATGATTTTGGGAGGGAAAAACCTCCCCTTTATTTTAACTTGTTGATCCCCTTGTTTTTCCATTAACTGAATTCAGTGTTGTGGGCCAAGAAATGGGTCTTTTTTAGCCAAAATGTTCAAGGCCCTCCAGGTGAGGAGCCAGTGTTGTGCAGCCAAGTCATCTTTCATTCCTAAACTGCAGCTGTGCTGTGCTGCATTGCTAGAGAGGACAGGTTCAAGGACATCTCAATTTTGCAGTCAGTTTCAGGGAGCTTTTCAGGAGACAAAACAACAACTGTGTGGAATTATCTAAGAATAGGACTTCCACAGTCAGTAGTGGTTCAAAAAGAAAATATTAGAACTTGGTAAAAATGGAGTAGAGAAGGAAACAACCTCATTATGCTGCGGTGTGAATTCAGTCTGCATCTTAAATGCAGAGAGAACAGAAAGACCTGAATGGTTGATACGGGCTCTCTGTCCTAAATGCTATAGCAMAACCAAAAAAAGAGGTGACAAAGACAGGTGCCATCCAAGACTGGTGTATGGACTGGCATTTGTGTGAAAGAAAATTAAGTAGCTCATGTTTAGATAGTAGAAAAATAAACGAGTTGGTGGTTTTGTGGTATCCTAAAGGCAAAATGAGCCTTTTAGTGCTGAATGTTTGTGCTGATTGTTGCAAAGTCCATGGGCAGTGTCACATAAGGCGTTTTCTCAGACTCCAGAGCAGGGGTGCTCAGGGATGGCCCAGGCAGGGATAAGAAGCAGTGAGGAAGGCTCTGGTGTGGTAAATAGGGTGTGGGGCRTAGCTGAGCTGTCTCTGAGTGACCTGGTAATGAGCTGCCAGCCCCTGTGTGAGGTCTTGGCTCAGCCCTCCCAGCAGTAACTAACTGAGCATGGCTTTAAGACGAGAGATGGGGAGGGCAGCAAGGAGACTGGGATGCCTCCTCTGGTAAGTGTTTTGGAGATGCTCAGGCTGGGCTTCCCTCACCAAGGTTGGTGCCCTTGGATGGGGCAGTGCCCCATGCAGAGGAGCAGATCAGGGTGATGGCTCACCATGAAGCCATCCCAGCCCACCCACCCTGGGCCCTGCTGGAGGGACAGACACATCCACCTCTGCCTGGTGCCTGTGCCTGGTCTGTAGAAGCTTCCCAGAGCCCAGCTTGAATMCTGGGAGAAGTCTCTTCCTTGAATAACGTCTCCATCAGTATGGCTGCTGGTGTCCTGCAGCAGCACCAGGACTGCTGGTGCCTTTTCAAGTCCTAGTCTTGTTATCTACCTGCTTTCTATGGGAATATATATGTATTTTCAAAGATTAAGTTGGAAAATAATGTTGAAAAATACTGAATTTATCAGATGAACTTTAAACAGGCTTTAGTTTGACCCCTTTGTTTTTATAAGACACTGATAGTAGCATCTTTTTCTTCTCTCACAGCCCCACTGGCACAGCTAAATCACCAAAGGAAAGAAACAGTTCTTTGTTTGCTCGTTGTCCTGTGTGGCAGGGGGCTGTGTTTTATGTAATTCTTGGCTGGGTGCTCTAGAGCCAACAAAGCTTTCTTGTGTGTAAATGGCATTGTGTTCACGGGCTGGCGGGGCCATGGGGACACCAGAGACCCAGAGGCTCACAAAAGAAGAGGCACAAGTGGAGGTTAATTTCCAAAGGAAGGGGAAGCAGTGGGAAAATGGAAATGGTCAGAGGTTTGTCACAGATCGTGTCTCTGAGCAGTTGGAGAAGTTGTGTCTGGTGGGTGTCTCAGGAGGAAAACAGGGCCTGAGCAATCTCTGGGTAATGTCCAGAAGGCTCTGCAGAGCTTGAGGCTTCCCTGTGCTGTTCATTCCTCTGCTGCTGTGTGGAAAGATGGCCCAGTCAGCCCCTGCCCTGTCACCARGGGCTGCACAGCTGAGCCATTACAGCACTGCCCTCCTGACCAGGCTGGGGAYATGGTGTGTCACTGGAGGCTGTCCCTGCTGGAAACCCCCAGGCAAGGGGCTCTGTGTTGTAGTAGTCCCTGTCCTGCAATCTGAAGCACATGTCCCTCGGTTCCCAAAAGTTCTTGAGTCAGTCTGTGGAGATGTAGAAAGTGCCTCTTGGTGTTGGTTTTAAGGAACTAAAGGGAAATTAAGGGCTTGGCACATTTCCCCCCTTCCCAAAATTAATTGAAATGCAGATTAATACACTCCTGCTGGACTACTCTAGTCATCCTGGGGAAGTGAATGAAAATGGGATGTTTCACTCTTGTGATCAGTGACTGGACTGGAAGACACAGCATGAAGCTGAGTCAGGTGAGGTTTAGGTTGGATATCAGGAAAAGTTTTTTCACCCAGAGGATTAATCACTGGAACAGGCACCCCAGSGCAGTGGTCATAGCTCTGAGCCTGTCTGAGCTCAAGAAGCATGAGTGGGATTGTTGGGGTGTCCTGTGCAGGACCAGGAGTTGGACTTGATGATCCTGATGGGTCCCTTCCAACTCAGTATTTTCTATGATTCTTCTGCCTATGTTGCTTTTTTGTTTTGTTGTTTTTTCTTTCAAGAAACAGTCCTTTAGGATTTCCTGTGCTGTTGTTCCTTTCATCTCTAGATAAGCTAGAGRGTGTGGAGATGCTGACCACCACCAAAGTGCTGTGTCTGGAGTTTGTACTGTTCCAAATGCAGTATTTCTTAAGGCAGAAAAATAAACTGCTTTACACTGTTAAAGAGAAAAATACCCTMAGAAATCCTGTGTGGATGAAGTTGTGTTGGCTGCATGTGTGCTGCTTYTTTAAAAGACTTTTATTTCAAAATACACTGTATCAAGTGACATTTGTTCCAAAGTAAATTTTATAAAAAGCCTTTTTTTTTGTCTGATGATGGATGGAAATCATCATACACCTTATGTTAGAACACAAAATCAAATTCCAGTCCACAGCTCTYGAGTGCTGGCGTCATGTCCTGTACGTGTAAGAGTTGATTGTAATTTGTTGTGGCATGATGGAAGGAGCTGCTTGGCTGCAGTCTGGGTCTGGAATATATTAGCCTGAGATTTATTTGTAGCTTTATTTGTTTGGAATTCCAGTGAGGGGAGATCTGGATATAAATGGGAAAGGAGATGCATTAAAAAACACCTGCTAATATTTGGAATTGTGTTCAAATCTCCTAGAGATGTGAATACTGCTGTCATGGAGCTGCTGATCATGGCCTATGCACTGAAGACTTCCTGTGCCAGGAACATTATTGGGGTCATCCCCTACTTCCCCTACAGCAAACAGAGCAAAATGAGGAAGAGGGGCTCCATAGTCTGCAAGCTGCTGGCTTCAATGCTTGCCAAGGCAGGTGAGTGTCACAGGGAGCATCAGCATGGCAGGTGCTGCTGAGCATCCCAAAGGTCATTTGTCCTTCCATTCTCCTGTTTGATGTGGGGATGTGCTGCTGAGCTCTTGAGCCACTTTGCAGGAATTCATTTTCTTCAGCTTTCTTGTGTGTGCCTSGGGAAGTGGCCCCAGAAATGAAATAGAAATGTTATAGTGAAATACAGTGTCAGCCGAGTGCTGTGGCATTATGTGCCTGCTTCTTATTATGTCCATGGAACTTTCTGTGTTAATCTGTTTATGATTATTTTATGAAAGGGCATAATAGTCTGAGGAATAGCTAAAACAGTCTGGAACTCCAGCGATGCGGGAATATTTTCAGTAAGTTGTTGTCTTTTGTCCCCTTTAGGTTTAACACACATTATCACTATGGACCTTCATCAAAAGGAAATCCAAGGCTTCTTCAGCTTTCCAGTAGACAACCTGAGAGCATCCCCTTTCTTGCTTCAGTATATACAGGAAGAAGTGAGGTTACTCTAGTTCTATATATATCAACTTGTCTGAACTCATTTTACCATGGTAGCAGCACTGGGCCTCCACTTAAGTGGGGGTGGTGATGTCAGTTTAGGTCAATTCTTCAGTTAGTGACTTCTTTCTAAGGGGGTACCTATTGCATGTTTCATAGGAAGATGTGACACTGGGTGATTGTATCTGGATAGAAATTGAACTCAGCACAAGCAGGAGAGGAGCTTGCTCTCTGTGGAGTTAGTGCCATCTGAGAGATGCTACTTGTATTCCTGCCTCTAATCACCTCTGAAATCCTATTAAACTGCCTCCCCTCTCCCTTTGTGCTGTGCTGGATTTCTGACTGCTCTGAATTATTGATAGATTTTGTCTTGGGCTGAGTGCGGAGTGCTGAGTGCAGCAAGGCCGGGAGCAGGGCACGGAGGTTTTATTCTCCATGTGCAAAAGATGGTGATTTATTCCCACATGGTGAGAGCAAGGCTTCCCCATGTGGGGAGGGTTAAACATAGTGAACATTCCCACCTCTGCAGAATACACAAATACAGTTGTTGAAAGCAAGTGCAGTTKCCCCTCTAGTTTCTTGTCACAGAATGAAGATTTGATTCTGGGGAGGAGGGTGGGTGTAATTATTCAGCCATGAATGAAATCAGTTCTTCCCAGCAAGAAGGTCTTTAATTGATTATCTTTATATCACATCCAGATTCCAGACTACAGAAATGCAGTTATTGTAGCCAAATCTCCTGGTGCTGCTAAAAGGTAAATGGATGCTTTGCTAGCTGGTTAAAAGTAACTTGGAAAATACCTGAGCCGGTGAAAAATTTATGAGGGAAAGTATGGGAGGGTGGCAGATGGATTAACAATCTGGTCATAATTCCTTTGTGGCTAGAAATGGGATGGATGTGATGCAGATGGGCAGCTGAACTTTGTATTCGCACTGCTATGGAAGTAAACTTGGGAGGTCTCAGTGTAATGGCTCACCTGGAGTCAGACTTGCTGCTTTGAGTTTCAGCAGTGCCTGACCAACTCAGAAAGCATTTATATGGAGGAACACAGAAGACCCTGTGTTGGAGTAAAGGGGTAGAGTGGRCTTTGGGGTATCAACAAGGAATGAAGAGTCACTTCCAGTCAAGTTCCTTGCAGAGAAACAGCCACAKAGGTGCAGCCTTTGCTTGCTGTTGGTCTGGGAGACAATGGCTGTAGTGGGCTGTGAAGCTGCATCAGCCCAGCACCTTTCTGAGAGGCTRCTGTTGTCTTGCAGGGCTCAGTCTTACGCTGAGAGGCTGCGGCTGGGGCTGGCAGTGATCCACGGAGAGGCTCAGTGCACAGAGCAGGACATGGATGATGGGCGGCACTCCCCTCCGATGCTCAAAAATGCAACTGTGCATCCTGGCCTGGAGCTGCCATGTAAGATCAAGCTTCTCTGCTTACATTTGGGGGAAAAAAAAAAGAGAAGAGTTTGGTGGGAAATCTCTGTTGCTTTATTTCTGTAGGTGTAACCAACCTTTAGGCAGTTGCRCCAGTTGAATCTTTTTCATGGAAAGGTTGATATCAGCAAGTAGGACAAGTCACAGGGGAAGGCTTTTATTTGACTCCTGGCCATGCAGAGCTGTCAGTACTGTTCTCCTTGGCTGTGCTTGCTCCATGGTGTTAGACTGACAAACCTCTGATAAAGCTGGTGCTTTTAYAGAGTTCAGCAACAACATTTATTGAGCTAATGAAACAAAAGAGATGCAAAAGTGCAAGTAATGAGAGAACAACCACTGAGACAGGCTGCTGGCTCCATTGGGGAGGGCAGGGATGGTCTTTGTCTTCCCTTCTGCTGGACCCATTTTTACTGTTGGAAATTTTCTACATCTTGGCACCCAGGTCATCATGCTCCAACATCTGTTTTGACAAAGTTTTAAGGTTTGTTGGCTGGGGTGAATAGGTTCTTTAAGAGCATTGTTGACCTGTTTCCTGTGCTCTTGCCGCTGACTGGGAGCAGAGAGCAAAGGAAAAAGAAGGAACCTGTGTTCTGGGTAATGCTGTCCTCAGGATTGCTGTATTCCTGCAACAGTCAAATAATAACAGTACAATCAAAATCCASCTCCCTTCTGGGAGGATTTTAGCTTTCTAGGCATGTGGTGGTAGGACAAAAATTGGGAACRGGAAGGTGGCTGAGAAGTGCCTGTGGGAAAGGCTGTGTGCTGCTGTGTGTGGCAACACTAGCAGTSGTTGGGGCTGCTGATAATCATCTCATCTTTGGAAATTTAGGGAGAACATCCAACCAGTTTGTGGGCAGCTTGTGGAGGGGAGGCAAGTAAGACTGCAGGCATTTTACGTCACTCCAATTGTGTCTCACTGGAAGACAATCAGTTAAACACTGCTTCTGTTGCTGGTGAAACTCCTTTTGGGCCTTGGGGGACAGGTGGRGTTTGGCAGTGAAGTTTGGGACTTCATTGTTCTCCTTCTGACGAAGGGTTTCTTTTCATGCCCTTCCAATAAAGCAGGAATTTACATGGTTATTTTTGCCATTCTCCTTCCCTTCCTAGTCTGAAGAGGATGCTGTCCTCCAGAATATCAGTAGCTGCCATTTGTCTGCTATGGAGGAATTGATGTGATTGTATTTTTATTTCCAGCCATGTCACTTCAAAGAAGCTCAACTCTGGGAGCTTGTGCTGCTGGAGAATCCTGGAAATGGTTGCTCATACAGAAATGTGTCCTTGTCCAGTTTAGTTATGATTCCAGTGGAAAATTGTTTTCAGTCCTCAGCTAACCAAAYACAAACTAATTTGCTGTCTATCACYACTTTCTTATTTTATCTCTTGCACAAACTCAGCACTTGACCAATGACCTTAGATCCCTGCATGCCTAAGGCACAATGTAAAACAGTCGAGCTGTGGCTTGGCAGCTCTCTGTCATGAGGTGGATTGTGGGGCAGACTTGTGCAAAATTCTCAGTAGAAGTTGCTTTTATCAGCAGTTTTCTAACCTGAGAGATACCTGATTTTGAGTGAACTGGGTTCTGGAGGTGCAGAATTCTGAGGTGATGCGTGTCTAAAAGCAGTCTGTGCATCCTGGTTGTGTCACAGACAGGTGAAAGTGCAGCTGTGAATGTACTTGCCTCTGTGCTGTGCCTCCTTTCTTGTCCAATTCAGTCATTTGAAAATMATCTTCCCACCTCAAATGTCACATCATACCAAATCCTCATTCAACTCTCCCTTCCTAGTGATGAAAGCTCTGGGGGCAGAGTGAAACAGGGTTCAGTTGTGTGATTGTTTGTGAAAAGTCAGACACRTGCTACTGCTCAGAACTGGATGCTTCCTTACTCCAAAACTGGCCCAAAATCCTGATTGTCAAAACAGAACCGGTCTGTGGATCTGCCTGGCTCAGTGACCARACCTAAGCCTGGCAGGTAGAAGGTCGGGGCTATTCCTGGGGAGTGGCTAAGACTCTTCATGGAGCATCCCATTCTGGGCTACAACTGTGTCAGTGTGGAGCATCCCAGACACGGCAGTTGAGGCTGCAGGCAGTTGTGTCAGAGCCAGGAGAGAGGTGAAAGCTGTGCCTGGGAGCAGCCCCAGAGCCCCACAGGGATGGCTCGTGCTTTGTGCCATTCTCCATGGGCTTCCCGGTGAATTGGCTGGGCTCCTGCGTCCTGGCATGCACCTTCTCTCCCTGTTCTAGCAGGGATCATGTGCCTCTAATTAATGAGTGCTAGGCAGTGTAATGGCTTAKTTATTGTCCTGTGAGTGTGGCCTGATGAGATATTCTGATTCGGAGGGAGCCRCAACAGAAAAATGCCAGAGGTGCTTCTAATTGCACTTAAAATKCTGCACTGAAGTGGCAGCAAAAGCCCACATCACTCCAACCCCTGAAATCAGAGCCTTGGAGACAGGAGTCCCTCCAAGGTTATTCCCTGTGATTGTGTGCTTTTGTGTCTCAGAGCTTGCAGCTGGCTCGGGGCTGTGCCTTAACAAATGCATGTGGACTTTCTGAATGTTTCCTCGAGAAAAGGAGTGGAGCACCATCTGTTAAATCATTTCAGTGGCTTTGGAATTCAGTCACTTTATACAGAGAGCTAATGGTCTGCTTGAGTCCCAGAGCCCAGCAAACTGCCACAAAGGGAGTTTGGGGGAAAAACTGGAGTGACAATAGGTCTGTTCCTATTTCCCTACCCCCGTCTTGCCTGTGTTTAGACTGGGCACCGGGATGTTTTCTGTCCTTCCAAGGCTATCTSTATACAAAAAACAGTTCATTCTTGAGCAGCCTTTTGCTCACAGGCTGTATTATTAATGCAGCATTATATTTGTCAGTGACTGTTACTTTAATTCGCATTGTCAGCTCCAAACAGGATTAATTTTAGTATTTCTTAACCTATTTTTGAGCACTTAATTAAAGCAACATGTTTACACACCTGGGGTTGCTGTTCGTTAGTGCCAGTGATGATCTTGCCTTTAACATGTGGTACTTTGGTGTATATTATGCACATCTGAATGAAAGTGTTCTTTGATATTCTTGTTTGATAAAGAATGGTGGTTGTTCTAGTTTTTGCTCTTTTATTTTTATTCCCCCCAAGAAGCTACAGATACCACAAGAGTCTTTTCTGACTCGCCAGAAAACGTCAGCAAGCTCTTTAAGCTAAACTTGTATGTGATCCAAGGGGTTACACCAGGCAAAAGTGCCACTGTGGCTTATTTCTATTACCYTCTTCTGTCTACAAACATAGAGGTTTTGTGTCTGGGAGGAGAATATTCTTTATTWTTTGAATCATTTTTCAAGGCACATTGCTATAGCAGTTCTGACTTGCACATCTTGATATGTCCAAAGATTTTGAAGAAGAAACTGGCTGCACTAACCCCTGTGTAGACTCTCATCACCTTGGAGCAGTTCTCTTGAGATTTSATGTGGTTGTGGGTAGATCTTTGGCTTGCAATTTTTTTTTTCTTTTTTTTGCAGAGAAAATTGAACAAGGAAAAGGGAGAACATCTCTTTAAGATCCGGGTAGGTCGACACGTTGCCTACCATTCTTTAAAAATAAACCAAAATTGAAATACAGCTTTTAAAAACAGACAGAGATGCAAAGCACTGCTAATGTTGCTGGTTGCCATGTTAGTCTTTAAGCATAGCAAGGAATGTGTCTGCTTCCTTCATGGAGTAGAAGGATGCTGATTTGCTGAAACTCCATGTCTCTGTGAGTAAAATAGTGTTGAATTTCAGCTCCCTAGGCTTGTTCACCATTTGTGTAGAAATATTTCCCCTAACCTGGCTGTTGTAAACAGAGATGGCACTCATCTGTGGATACACATGGAGGATGGGATGGCAGCCAGGTGGAATCCTTTTGATACTTCACAGTTCCCACCAGGAGCTCTRTTACTGTCCAAACTAGACAGTAAACTCATAACTAATCCAAGCAGGTCAGTAGTGCCTGTAATTGAAATTTATGATCTGCTTATCTCTTTTGGTGCTTAATCTTCATTTATTACAAATAATCTTCCTTCTCGTAAGAATATTTTTCCTTCAGGATTTAGATGTGACTTTGCATTTAATAGGAGACTCAGAAATAACTATGCAAGGGAGGCTGGGGAATCTGTGCCGTGAAGAGCTGTTTATTAACTCTTCAGTCCAAGGTGGTTGTGACTTCAACTGCAAAACCTGGTAATAACTGGTGGAACTTTGGTCAAAACAGAATTACTGGACACCTTTTATGCAGTTTTATTAGGTTTATGGAAAACCAGCCAGTGGAGTAGGTCATGGATGTGAAGAACAGCTCTACACATGAATCTTCGAAGCTGTGGTCCTTGTAATTGCTTGCATCATATCCCTCAGTGTGACTCATTCACCCAGCTGTGCTTGCACTCTAAGCATTCCCAGGCACTGATGAGATGTGGGAATAGTACTGGATCATCCTGCTGTACAGGATGAGGAGTTTAATGTAAGACTTTTTTGACCCGGGAGGGCAGAGATCAATATTCAGACTGGCTTTTTGGTGGGCAATGTTTGTGTTGTCCTGCTGCTCAGGTATCACAATGAAGTGGATTATCCTAAAGGAGAAAAATTTTACTGTGTCTGAACTCCTCGAGGCACTTGAGAAGCCTCTGTGGCTGGAATCCTAGCAAGACCTGAGCTTGCATCAGGAGGGTCACCGAGTGCCTTGGTAGGACACTTKGCACTCACTGTGGAGAGCATAAAACAGGGCAGTGGGGTGTGGAGGTGGGCCAGGTAAGTGTTTCAGTATTCTGGATGTGCCTCTTGAYGGTTAGATCAGTCCAGACTGACCTGTGTGTGCCCACCACAGTGTCCTTCCCATGTTTTGTACCAGCAGTTTTTGTACCAGCACCCCGTGGCAAGTGAGAGGTTTGGCAGATGGACAGCAAGTCCCTGGCCTGTACTGGAGGCTGGTTGCTGCGTGGTGTAAGTCTGAAGGCTGCRCTACATCTGGACTCTTGAGTGCCTCCCAGTTCAGATCTCTGGTATTTTTATTAAGCTGCTGGAATTTTGGCAGATGTGCTTTTGCATGACCCCTGTCAGTGCAAAAGTAGWGTCAGGAGGGAATGGAACCTTACTTCCCAGTACATCTTTTCACTGTGTGTCAGGTAGCACAGCTTGTCAGTGTATCCTTTGATCCAATTGCTGGTTGCACTGAGCTTGTAGAATTGAGTTTCAACTGGATTTTGTCCTGCTCTTTCCAATTAATCCACTTWAAAAATAATCAGCAAATTTGCTTCTACAAACTTCCTTAAGCTTTCTTTGCCTGAGCAGGCGGTATTAAGGTTCTTACATCCTCTCAAAGACCCTTCTGTGTTGGTGATGTGAGAAAGCAAGTGAGCTACAGTGCAAATCTCTGATCCTACAGATGATTTACTGAGTTCAAGAGGTGAAAAGTTGCACCYTATAAAGCACCTACCTTTTGAGAAGTGCTGCTTGGAAAAGCCCATTTGTTATTCCTGGTCATGGAATGGACCCCTTTTCAAGTCCTGTTTTGGAGGTGACAAAGAAAGTCACTGATACTGCCCATAATAAAGCAGGTGCTGCTTTGTAGCTCTCCTTGCTAACAGATGGGTGTGTTAAATAGTTGTATTTTCTTTTTTTTTGAGGTCAGTATGAGGTTCCCACAGAAACAGAGTTTGCTCTTTATGCAGCAGTGCTGTTCATTTGAGGAGGAAAATGATGGTTAAACCAGTGTTTCTCATTTAGGYGGGTGTCAGGATCATGTAAAGCCCATCTGTATCTGCATCAATATAAGATGTTTAAGGGTTCAGCCTCTTGTGTGGTGGAACTGTTGGGGTTTGACTCAAGCCTGACTCACCTGGACTGTTGTTTTTTCCTTCTTCTTTAGTGATGATGGCCAAGGAGAAACCACCAATAACTGTGGTTGGAGACGTCGGAGGAAGGATTGCCATCATTGTGGTATGAGTGTGAGGGGAACAGGTGGGGGGTGGCTTCCTCRCAGCATCTTTGCTTCAGCTGCTCTATCCCTGAGGGTCAGAGGGATGGCTGGTGTAAGAGTGGGAACATGTTTGTTAGACACTCTTTTCCTCCACTAGTGCTGGTGGCTTTGGTTATTTCAACTTTCTGTTGAAAGCCCTTTGCACTTCAGCTCTTTAAGCCCTAAAATTTCCTTGCTCCCTTGATTCTGGAAGTGCCAGGTGTCTACAAGTAATGAATTAATCCAGGACATGCAGATAAAACTGAAGTGTTAAAAAACCCCAAACAAACAAAAATACTTGCTGAGCRTCTCACACTTGCTATGCTGTGCTGCAGTGTGAGTAATCAACATGCAGCTCCTACCCCATGAAAAAATACACCTTGCTGATGATAAACTGTGTGTGAGTGCTTGTGCAGGGACTGATTTGTTTCCAAGACWCAACATTTGTTCTCCACACTAATGACTAAAAGGGTCATTAAACTAGGGAAATAGCATTCACAGATTAGTCATGCACGTGGCTGTCCTCACCAGCAGCTGAAGTAGACAGGGATTCTATTTTTCATCTGTGTGCATGGCCAAAGCTGCAGTGCCTTGCAGATCCACTCCTGCCCTGCAGGCTCTGTAAACTGCTGGTTTTGATGTTAGTTCTGCTTCTCCTCAGGATGACATCATTGATGACGTGGAAAGCTTTGTAGCTGCTGCAGAGATCCTGAAAGAGCGTGGAGCCTATAAGATTTTTGTGATGGCTACTCATGGGCTTCTGTCAGCAGATGCCCCCCGTCTCATAGAGGAATCCTCCATTGATGAGGTGAGTCTGCTTTCTGGACTGCAGAGGAGTGGCTGGCTCTGGTGACATCAAAACTCATAAATTGATGTCCTTCCCATGGCATGTAGCTCATCTCTGGAATTACTCATTTAATCAGGTGCTTTCAGTTAGCTGGTTTTTCACTGGAACGAAAATTTGTGTGTGTGTGTGATTAATACTTGCTCGGATCAGAGCTGCTTCCCTGAGTGTGCTTTCTCCCTAATGCAAGTATTAGTCATCCCAGCCTGGACACTTCCCTTCCTGYGGCTGGGGGTGTGTGGCTGCCATCTCACTGTGCAGCCCCTCTCCCCCAGCTGGTGAGGGGCTGTTGGTACATGAAGAGAACAGGAATTCAAACCTTAGCAGCAGCTACTGTAATCTGCATGGACCATCAGCCTGTTGGAGAGTGCTAGTCCCCTCAACAGACTGTCACAGGGGGACACCATTTATTTTAATCTTTTTTTCCTAATTCTCAAGGATTTCTCCCCCTGAATTGTGAAACAGCCGGTACACACTCCTCCTAGAGTCAGTCCACGGTGGCTGCTCAGGGAGGGTGAATGTTTCAGCAGCACAACTTCCTCTCCTTTCTGGCCCTCCATAGGTGGTAGTGACCAACACTGTTCCTCACGAGGTGCAGAAGCTGCAGTGCCCCAAGATAAAGACTGTGGATATCAGTTTGATCCTCTCGGAAGCCATCCGGCGGATCCACAAYGGCGAGTCCATGGCCTATCTCTTCCGCAACATCACTGTCGATGACTAGACCAGAGCCTGCCCCCGTCCTGGATTCCACAAGAGAAGGAAATCTGCATGGAAAGGCAATATCATAAAACATAGGCATAACACAACTGTTTATTTCTGTAGGAGCATGGAGGTTTTCAGGGTCTTGAGCCATGAGATCTAATAGGGAAGAAATCAACCTGACCAGCACTTTACAAGTGAGCAGAAGGGGCCACTGGCAATGGGGAGGATTACACCTTAATTAAGAGAGATGGAGAAATGAGGTGGTGTTGAATTTTTAAGTTCCTTTAATGATTTTTTTTTTAGTGTGTTATCTCTTGCCCTGTAGGGGCAGAAAGAAAAGCTAAACAGAAGTAGCTGTCATCTTGTGAGAAGGGAACAGAGACTGCTCACTGCTGTGTGGGTAGCGAGAGCAGCCTTTGGGGTTGTTTCTGCCTGTGTCTCGCCCCAGAGCATGGAAGGGAATGTTCAGACTGTGCTGCTGGCAGAGCTGAGCCAACAGCAGCTCTGTGCCAGCTCCATGGCCTCTCCTCTCCTGCACAGCAGAGCAGGGACTTTCATCAGAGYTAAGTTAGCGGAACATCCCGAAAGGACAGCTTAGGGCAGCCCTTTGGCAGGGCTGCTCCCATCCCTGGGTCAGGGAGCTGGGAACAGGCTCACGTGTGTGTCCCAGCAGAGCAGGCAATGCTAGTTAATGTGTTGGCCTTTTCATTTTGTGAGCTTTGGGTCATTATTGCTCTTCAGTGATGAGTCACGTGAGGGTCTTGGTCCTCACTGGATCACTTGTCTGCACTGCAAAACCAGGCACGATTTTTGGAGTTGCCTGGGGCTGATGAGTTTGTGGCAGAGTCTCATGGGGAAGGGGAAGTTGGAACAATATCTGCTTCTAATGCAGCTGTGCTCTCCAAAACACTAACTCTGAACCTGCAATAAAAAGTGTAAGATTTTTCAGCTTTGGTGCTTCCTGTGAATCCTGTGTGCTCTGAAGAGCTTCTGTGTCTGTTCAGTGGGGCTGTTGCTGTAACGAGGCTCACTTGGCAGTTTGCAGCCTTCTTCCACAGGGAAGTAGGACTTGCTGGTCACTCCTTTCTTGAGTGATAGTAATTTTTGGGTGTTGGGAACACTTGAGGGAACAGCAAAAGATGTATGTGGAGGGCTTTGTCTCTAGGATGRTACAAGGATTAATTCCTGAACTATGATCTTTTCCCTTGATGAGACAAATGCACCCCAGTAAAACCTACACCACTTCCTAGTCTGCTGATGTGAGGAACAAATAAAAGCTGCTGGAAGCAGTTGCTTCAACAGCACAGGAATTGTTTAGTTGTCTAGTTTTGCTTGTCCTTATTCTTGGATATACTTTATATACCCTTGTCTTCCACTCCAACATCTAAAATGTGCCAAGAGCCCAGCAGTGACTGAGTGGGATGAGCCTTGAACACCAGGCAAACCGACCTCAGCACAGAGTGCTTGGACCACTAATCCAGCATGGATTAAACCTCCAAGCTGAATTCCATGAGCAATGTGCAGAAYTGGATGAGATCTCAAAGCTGTTGATGGGTTTTCCTGCATTTTCAAAGTACCACAAACAAATCTCAGCTCTACTCTGTGACCACAGCCTGGCTTCTCAGCTGGAGGGGTAATGTGATTCTGTACTGCAAGTATTGAACAGATCAGYTGAAGCTCCAGAGTCCTTGCAGATGTCTGTGCCCCCTTCGTTCTGAGCCACTTCTGGACAATGTTCTTCATCCTGGAAACCAGTGTTAAAAGTGTGAGCAGTATTGCTGTTCTCTCCCCTTCAAAGTGCTTGTCAGACCTGCTMGGGGCAATGTTGGGGCTCATTGAGGATTGTTGCCCCACTCAGGCTTGCTTTTGCTGGCCTATTTTTGGGTAGAAACCATGGAATCACAGCACCACTGAGCAGAGGGYTGTGCATGTGTCTCCTGGGCCGTTGTTCTGAGTGAATGTTTTAAGATTGCTTTAAGAATCACCAGCAAAGGTATTGGAAAAAGCAGTTTTRGTATAGAAGTGCAAGTTCCACAAAGTTGTTGGCRAGGTTCACTCTRCTACTTACTAGGTGGCTAAGCAAACTAAAATCAATCAACCTAAACCCAAAATCAGTCCARAAATGATCTACATTGAACCTGGGCATGAGGGAAGGGGAAGGGTAGGAAAGGGCAAAGATAAAAAGGAAGCACAAGATGAKTCATGAGGTTCAGAGTAGACMCTCTTGGTAAAYTGAGCCYCAGACTTGACCAACAGTTTAGGCCCAAAGGTTTGACAAGCACTTAACAGCATAAGCTGTTATGCTATTGATTATGCKTCAGTTAAACAATTTAACAATTTCATAAAGCTTTTACTTAAAAATCCAAAGTACTTAAGAATCTGGGAGAGCAGCGTTCATAGTACATTTGTTATAATGCATTCCCACTTGCACACAGACCTGRAGGAGTCTGTACAAGGAAGAATTCCCCTTGAACTCCTGGAAGTACCTTGGATGCCTTTGTATCTTCTCAATGGGCAAAGGATTGAGCCTCAATGAATGGTCATAATTCCTTTCCATCCTGGCCACAATTCAGGTCAACAGCTTTCTTTGAAAATTTGATAACAAAAATGTTTTTCTGCTTGGGTTGTTATTCCAGCAAGAAAAATCAGTTTCCAAGGCTGTTTGTTAAAAAACAGGAGCTTGTTAAACAGCACAAGTTCCTGGGAACGGAGAGTGTTTCTGATAAGATTGAGAGTTGCTCAGCCCAGGTGCTTTTCCCAAGGCCTAACAAGCATTTCTCAGATCACAGTGCAGCTCAAGAGCAGGGGGGGTGCATCACCAGAATCCACCTCGTGACTAAAATCTACTTCTCTTGCTCCACAGAGTGGCCATGCAGTCACCTCTTGCCTCTGTGCCTATGAACAGGGATTTATTATGTTCCAGTTATAAATTGAGGGAAATTTTTGACCAGGTTAGCTAAATACTGTGATTTTTAAGACTGTTGAATGTGATGGGACAATATTATRTATGCAAGGACGTCTGTGGGACAATGCTGCCTGTCTAGCTAATATAAACACTCCAACACATAGAACACTACAGTACATTAAGCATAAAATGACAGAAATCAGCAAAATTACAACACGATGCAATGTTAGATCTGGAATTCCTGTTGCAGTGGGTCACCACCCAGACAAAATCCCACCAGTGATGTTCTCCATTTCTCATCAGTCTTTCCAAGACATGGTGTATCTCTTCTGTATAGTGATAAACAGTGATTAGAGCTCTGTGTCCATTGCTTCAGACACCTTCCAGCAGTTGACACAGTTTGTTGTGCTGCAGTAGTTTTTCCACCAGTATAAGGTTCATTCCAGTGGGGGTGAGCAGGAAGTCTWGCTGGGATGTGTAGGTAGATTGTAGCAATTCATGGGTTGTGATAGAACTGAACAGTTAAAGTCACATCCCCTAATTTTGGAAGAAACTATAAACACAAATGTTTGAATGATGGCTTTTTTTCTGTAGTGGTGTGGTCTGAATGGAATCACAAATAGTTCTCATATAAACACAGCTCTTCCCAAYGTATGTAAGCACAGTTTCAAGGGTTTCAGCAGGATTTATTTCAAAATGACAAATGTTTTGTTCAGTGCCAGGACAAATGTCTTGGGTGTTAGTGGTGTTACTTTCGCAAATAAATCCCTGTTGTTCCTGTACACACATCAACATTGACAGTTTGCCATTTGTTCCCATTTTGTTGGGCCCATRCTTTGTGTTGGATTGGATATAATTCCATGGTGATTTAACCCCAGTGCAATGGTTGGGTATATGGKGSTTACCAAAGCACTGTGTATTGTTAWAGCAAAAGCATTGGCTTTACTTWAAGAGGGTAGGGTCAGAAGTGAAGTTATCTAAATGCTGCCACCAAGGTTGAAATTCTCATTAAGTTTGTTTGCATTTTCCCAAATTACCTTTTAAATTTTGGTGGTCAATGCACCTCCATAGCTTTCCCTTACAGTTGCTGCTGCAGTAAATTATCTCCACCACTGAGCTTGGATGGAGCTGTACACAGGGGGACATTCAGGCTCCAGAGGGAGGAGGAGAATGAAGAGGAAGGACCCTGCTGGCCATACCTTTCTTGCTCTACCTCCTGCCCAGATGGGATGCTTGGAGAGCTGGGCCTGTGGGATCTGCCTGCCCAGGAGWGCAAGGAACCACTGCAGAGAATCASGAGAAGCCCCTGTGGTTCCCACCCCATCAGACATTGAGAAGGAATGGAAAAAAATGGAAGGCAGTGAAAGACATCACCAAGGCAGAGGCTCTTCCCAGCCCCTCTGGGTGCTCACCCCAAGCCACCCCTTTCTCTGGGGTCTGCACCCCTCGGGCTCTTGGGGAGCTGCTGCCCCTTCTTGGCTGCTGAGGATGTGCTGAAGGCCAGCTCCTGCCTGCAGTGTCCTGAGCCAGCCTGGCTGGGCCAGGCCCTGTACTATCCCCAGCTCTGTGCAGACCATGGTGGGGACAAAGGAGTTGGGCCCCAGGCACCAACCATCTTCTCTCCTAGATCAGGGCTCTTTGCCAGGAGCTCTGTGAGGAGGTCAGTGAGATGAAGGCAGAGCAGTCCTGCATGGCAGAGGACATCTGCATCATCCAGGAGTCCCTTGACCCAGTGAGCTGCCACCAGTGCCCCAGGAGCTGCCCCTCACTGGGCTGCCCTGCTGCCCTTGCAGCCCTTGGATGCTCCCAGTGTCAAGGGCACCAGGAGGGAAGAGTGGGAAGGGKGTCCTGAGAGTGGAATGTGGGAGTTCATCCCAGCCCACCCAAAGGCCCCCACTCTCCTGCCAGCCTCTCCCYAGCCCCAGAGGAGGTGACAGCGATGGGATGTGCTGCAGGATTTCCTGGTGGGCAGCAMAGCAGAAGGAGGAAGAGGAAGAGCAGGAGAAGGAAGGCTGAGATCTGCCAGTGGAGTGAGACCTCAGCTCCCAGCACCTCCAGCCACTGCCTGTCCCAGGGTCACTGCTCCTGTTCCCTGCACATCCCACYGGGACGCACAACCTGGCACAGGCTGAAAGCAGTAGAGATTGAAGGTGTTGTGGCACATGGTCCCTGCAGCTCCTGTTGGTTGCTGGAAGGAGGACATCACCAGCAGCAGGAGACAAGGGGGACATTCCATGTGTCACTGCTGTGTAACAATGGGCACTCTGCCAGGAAAGGGRACACCATAGAGGGACACAACTGGCACAGGTTCCAGAGCAAGGAGGAGACCCAAAGAGGAAGGAGCCTGCCGGCTGTGCACCTCTTTCTCCTTCTACGACCTCCTGCCAGCTCACCCTACCTGCTCCTCTCTGGAGCAATAGCACAGGAGTGTCCTGTTCATGGCAGTTCTGTGCTTCTGGACAGGTCACAGCAGCAATGGAGACTATCACCCTGGGCCAGATGCTGGATTCTGCCATCGGGTCACCAAAGACTGAACCCATCGACTTCGAGCAACTGCGCAACCTCCTGAAAGCAATGCTTGTGCAACTGGGCCTGCAGGATCTGCTCGTCCAGGAGAACGGGGAGCCAGTGGAGGGGGAGGGAGGAGTCTCTATCCTTGATGATTTAAAGCAGAGAGTGGAAGCTAATGAAAAAGCAATCGCTGAGGTAGAGGCTCTTCCCAGCCCAGGGTGCTCCCTCAGAACTGCTCCTTCTCTGGGGTCTGCACCCCTCGTGCTGCTGAGGATGTGCTGAAGGCCAAGCCCTGCCTGCAGTGCCCTGTCCAGCCTGGCCGGGTCAGGCACTGACCAGCTCTGTGCAGACCACGGTGGGGACAAAGGAGCTGGGCCCCAGGGACCCTGCCCTGGGGCTCACCCAGCCATCCCCCTCTCCTAGATCAGGGGTCTTTGCCAGGATCTCCATGGGCAGTTCGGTGAGATGAAGGAGGAGCAGTCTCGCATGTCAGAGAGCCTGCAGAAGATGCAGGAGACTTTTGACCCGGTGAGTTGCCACCAGTGTCCCCAGGAGCTGCCTCTCACTGTGCTGCCCTGCTGCCTCTGCCCTCTTGCAGCCCTTGGAGGCTCCCAGTGTGAAGGGCACCAGGAGGGAAGAGTGTGGAGCATGTCCTGGAGTGGAACATGGGAATTCAGCCCAACTCACCCAGAGCCCCCCATTTTCCTTCTGCCAGCACTGGCCCAGGGAGGGCAGAAAGGCACCACTGCCTGCAGGTCAGGCTGGTGGTAGAGATCTACCCTCAGCCCTCAGCCAGGGCTCCTGAGGCATTTGTGAACTAAAGAGCCATCAAAAAAGTAACCTGGGTCCTGGGAAGGAAGGGAGACAAAGATCMGCCTGTGCAATACAGCCACAGCCAYTCGGCATAACMCTGTCCAGGGTCCCTCTGCCTGGTGGCTGAGTTAATTTGGAGATGATCCTTTTAAATCCCTCTCYTGTGTTCTGATTCCTGTCCCTATGCTTTCTCTACTCCAGGACAACCTCCAAAAAATGCTGGATGAGCTCCGCAGACAGCTGTTGGTATGTCCTTGAGCACACCTTGCTCCAACGGGGGGTCCCCCCAAACCAGGGCATGGTCCCCAGCAGTGCTGGGGGGCCAACATTCCTCTGGATCCCATCCTGCCCCCAGTCACACGGGTGGCTCTGATGCCTTCCTTCCAAAAAAAGGCTTCAAAAGAGGCTGAAGYTCTCCCCAGCCCCAGGGGAGGTGAGCAACATGGTGTGCTGGCATGTGCTGGGATGTGCTGGAGGAGTTCCTGGTGGGCAGGAGAGCAGGAGGAGGAGGAGGAGGCCAAGGTCCAGTGGAGCAGGATCGCAGCCCCCAACACCTCCAGCCACTGCACAACGYGGTGCCTCTGCTGAGGCTGCTCAGGACTCCTGTTCCCTGCACATCCCACCAGGAGCAGGACCTGGCACAGGCTCAGCCTTGGTTAATGTGCACCCACAGCATGTTTGCTGCTTAGGAAAGGACCATGCTCAGGGTGGTGGGAGAAACAGCTGGAGCTGGTACCTCCCTGGGGYCAGGCTGCATTGACATCCCACCACAGCCCCTCCTTGCTCAGCATCAGGCAGGATCATGGCTCCCTGCCCTACAGGCCTCTCTGGAGTGGTGGCTGGGATCAGGGGACAGCAGAGGGATGTTATGGGGCAGGTCTGGAATATTGAATCCCATTGCTAGAGGGAAGAATGCGTAAATGTTGTATTAGATGCTGTCAGTTGAGTGTTTGCCAATCCCCTCGGTTGGCTGCTGAAACCATGGGCRCAGAGGTGCCCAAAGGGCTGGGGAGAAACAGTTTGAAGTTCAGCAAAGGCAAGTGCAGGGTCCTGCACCTGGGGAGGAACAACCCCAGGCACCAGCACAGACCAGGACTGACCGGCTGGAAAAGCAGCTCTGTGGGGAAGGAGCTGGGGGTCCTGGTGAACAATGAGCTGTCCACGGCCAGAAGGGCACTGGTGTCCTGGGGTGCGTTAGGAAGAGCATTTCCAGCAGCTCAGGCAGTGATCCTGCCCCTCTGCTCAGCCCTGGTGACACAGAGCTCCTGGAGCGGGTCCTGTGTAGGGCCACAAAGATGGGGACTGGAGCATCTCTGTGCTGGGGAAAGGCTGAGGGAGCTGGGGCTGTTCAGCCTTGAGAGAAGATGCTGAGAGGGAAGCAAGGCTAGGGGGGTGATGCTGAGCATCCACGGGGGAGATGGTGGATCTGTGCCTCAGTTTCCMCAGGAAGAGCTGGGCTTGGAGGCTGGCTTGGGAATGCTGAATGCAACCCAATRTTACAAGCAGTCCATCCTCTCCTTCCCAGGCAGAACTGATGGGCGAAGGACCAGATGACTCGGACTGGGAGGAGGAGGCCGGCCCCAAGCGCACACGCACATGGAATGACCCAGGGCTGATTGTCATCGGCAATGAAAGTACTTGGGGACACAGCTGGGGAGAGTGGAGGGCACAGCAGGCTGGGCAGGGGCCTGCAGACTGCTGGCTTTTCCCCCAGCCATGTTCCTCCAGGCTTCCCTGACCCTGGCATGCTCCCTCTGGTCTCTTCTTCCAGTTATCCTCGCGGAAAGGTCCAGGTCACCCACATCAAAGCATGGGGACAGCCGGCCTGTCAGCCCTCAGTCCTCCAAGGCCAGGGGGAAGGATTTGCACGAGCAGAGTGCAAACGGCTCCCCAGTGCCAAATGACATGGGACAGAGTGACATGGGACAAAGTGACATGGGACGGA